TCATAGCGTTGTGCTTAACCCACTGCGCCACCAGGGAGGGCCTCATAGCATGTCTGAAGACAAAGTAATGGCATGTTGTAGTACTTGGCACAATCTGGCACTTTGAAGCGCTCAGTAACACTGGCAGTGGTGACTGCCAATATGACTGGTCGTGCTATTAATATCTTCTGTCGCCCGTTTTATTACTTCAAGACCTGGCACTTACAGAATTTAGGCGAATTATCCTATCTGGTATCAAAGAAACACAAGAGAAAAGTGCCTCAAGTTTGTAGTCCCCTGTGACCCTATGTGCACTGTCCCAGAGTTTCACAGCAAGGTCAAGTACGTGGAATTCAATGGCCGGGGAGCAAATTATAAAACCAAAAAAAACCAAAAAACCCCAAAACCCCCAAAACCTACTTAGCATCCGGTGCTGCCTTCCGTTGTGACTAGCTCTCACTCTCCTGTACTCGGTCCTTGTCTGTTGTGACTTTGATTCTTTTGGAAAGTTGTGAACAGTTACTTTGTCCAATGTCCGCTCCCCCCCTCCGTGTGTCTCAGGCCTTCTGATAACCAGCTGCATTTTCCGCAAGAGCCTTACAGCAAGGCTGTGCTCTTAGCACATCATCCTGCATGGTTCCTGGGGCGGGGGTTTTTCCTCCTGGTGTTGCTCTTGGGGGCTTGGTTAAGGTGGCTCCCCCAGAGTGAAGGTAACATCTTTCCTTTTGTAATTAGTAAATATCTCGGAGGAGATACTTTGAGAGTTGAAAATATTCCTCCTCAAACTTTTCTCCACTGATTTGAGCAGTCATTGGTGAATCTTGTCTATAGCTGTATGGTGGTTTTTCTCTAATGGTAACTTTCTATTTCTCTCTTCCTTCTACCGTTACTGATGAGAATTATACTGGAGAGAAGTGCTAGCCTTCCACCTCACACTTGCTAGCTTAATTGATTTTTTATTTATTATTTACTTTAGCTCAAAACTCATGAATGCATTTTAATCTCATACTGTTATAACTCATTTTGTTGTTCAGATTGTTCCACTTATCCCACTGGCTCCTTTTCTGCCTGTTCAGTGCCACATTTGAGAAAGAGGCGTAAAAAAAGGTCAGCCAATTCCTCGCTCCTGGAGTTAAACAGCACTATGCCTGTTAACTGAAAGGCCTCCAAGGAGCTGAATCCATCTCTCCTTTACCAACCCATTCCAGTGTTGAAACTGATCCCTCAGAAATACTCTCTTTGAAACAAGTTGTTTCTTTGAAAGCTTATTTGCTCTTGCTCCACTCCTGGTAGAGACAAAATATATTGTTGGGTTATTGTATCATGGCATCTTAGCCTTTAAATATGTGCAGGTCAAGTTACAGAGGCCAAGCCATCTCCTATGCTCTCTTTCTCCATGGTTCACTTTGCTTCAGGCATCCTGATTGGCTAACATAGCTTTTGGTTTTCCGTGCTCACTCAAGTGAATCTTAAACTTAGGTAGTCTCTTGAGCAAGATCTCTTGGATGCTGGTTCTAGTATTACGTGTATCCAGATTTCCCAGGAGACCAAAGGATGATAGTGACAGGACATAGACACTGGCTAGTCCTGCCTGGTTTGTGTTAACCCCCAACAAGGGAGTTGTGATGCTTAGTCACCTATCAGGGTCCTCAAACTTCTAGTTTTTTGTTTGTTTGTTTGTTTTTTAAGATTTATTTATTTATGCGTGTAGAACTGGGGTACAGACCAGAGGGGCATTCACCTGGTGAGACGATTCCCCAGAGGCAGAGTGGGGAGCAGAACAGGCAGACTGACTAAGTACACTGCTGAGGGGAGCAGCAGGCGGGTCAGGGGAGGTCTGCCACGCCATGTGGGTCACCTCCGGGCAGGCGGCAGGCGGGAATCGAACTCATGCTGAAGTGGCTTTAGCTTCTTATTGCTGTGCTTGAACACGCTGCGCCACCTGGGAGGGCCCCAAACTTCTCTTTTTAACTTTGGTTAACACGGGAAAGGCCGTAAGACCTCCTGCATCCATTCCTACTTTAGAGAGCAAAAGAAACGGGGATACCAAAGACTTGGCAAGGAATAAAAGAGCAACATGGCAGCAAGTAAGTAAAACCAAGAACTACCGGCGAAGTCAGGCCAAATATCCCTCAATATAAAAAGAGCAACTCAGGCCCTCCCTGGTGGCGCAGCGGGTTAAAGCACAGCACTGAGAAGCTAAAGCCACTTCCGCATGAGTTCGATTGCCGCCTGGAGGTGACCCATATGGCTTTGCAGACCTCTCCTGACCTGCCTGCTGCTCCCCTCAGCAGTGGACTTCATCGATCTGCCTGTTCTGCTCCCGCTCTATCTCTGGTGAATCTTCTCACTGCCCCTGACCTCTGGCCTGTACCCCAGTTCTGTATGCACAAATAAATAAATCTTTTAAAAAAAAAAAAAAAGAAGAAGAACTCAAAACTAACTCAGGGTCATCCTGAAGAGGCTTGATCACCAAAAGTCTTTCCCGGAACCTGGGATTCCCACTGCACTGTGTGTAAGCATGCAGGAAAGGCTAGACAATGATCTGGAATTTGAATCCTCAGTCAACTCCAGTTCCCAGGTAAGTTTGGATTACAATCGCCAGTGTTTCCAATGCTAAGTAGCTCAATTAATAGTGACTAGTGAGTACTACTCAATAATAAACAAAAGTGGAAGTTAACGACCTTGCCCATGAAGGTGAATTTTTTTTTTCTTCAAACAGCCAGGCCCATAAAAGGTTTTATTAATCCTCTCATGGCAAATCCGCACAGTCACCACAGATAGCGTCTTTCCTCCTCTGTGCAGCCCAGCCCTGGCTTCGTGTTCCCTGGCCTTCTTCCTTCTGCTCTTGTGTTCCTCCTGCTGTTTTCTGAGGTGTCGTCTCTCCCACAGGCCGTGTCTGGCAAGTCTGGGTCTGGGCTCACTTTTCTTTGCATCTTCCGAGGAATCGTAAATCCTGCCAAAGTCAGGTGTCTTGCCACCTCCCAAATGGGTTCTGAACCCAGGAACAAAGGTGACACCAGGGTGGCTTTGGACATTTTAGCTCGTTTCTCCCATGTCTGTCTCAGACACTGCTGCCTTCCGGGGTGAAGGACATTGATGACCGTCCGTTCTGCTGAGGCAGTGGGTAGCCACGGCCTTCCTGGTCCAGGTCGTTGCTGGGCCCTTCGTGAGGGCTTTGGGTACCTACGAGTCTGTCACCTTTCTCACAGGATCTTTTTTGGTTGATGGCTTTACACAGACTAAATCGGCTGGATGACATCTCAGCCGTTCCCTCAGGAAAGTTGTGTCTGAGACATAAAAATGATCAGCAAGCTCCCCGGGTGTTACACATTGCTTCTTCCCCCCCTGCTTCCATGCCCTAGAGGTGGCTGAGGGGTGAGAGAAATAGAATTGCCTTAAAATCTCTGATTTACATTTCTTTCCTCTCACTGCCCATTTTATTATCCCATCCAGGCACTCCCCTTCCCCCCTCCACTGACTGAGTCTTACTCTCTTCAACCCCATCCCCATCCCCTTCAAGAAAACTTCCCTGTGCGCTGTGAATCGTTCCTTCAGCATAGCAGTAGCTCCGGATTGAGGATCTGCCGTGCGCTGGGCCTTTTACTCATCTCCTGAAGCCCCATGCCAGACTTGTAGGAGAAGGAATAGTTTCCAATTCAATAGATGAGAAAGCAACATGCTCAGAAGTGGAGCACCTTGCTCAAGGTCACAGACAGGAAAGTGATGGGAGCGGGACTCAAAGCCTGGGCCATCTGACCCCGAGGCCCAACGGCTTTCCTCTTTTGCCGTTTTTCCTCTTTCCTCTTTCCTCTTTTGCCTTTCAGTGCATAGCTGAGTGGGTTCTAGGCCTCACTCCTCCTGAAGGAACAGAGGATCTGCTGCTCCCCACAGCGGTTCTAGGGGGACTGTCCCTCTGAGGGATTTAAGACTTTGGTTGGTTTTTGGAATTTTTGAACATTTTTGTGGTGCTAGCATTGGTTCCTATCAGTGTGTTTTAGGAATTCAGGTCTAGACATCTTCAAAAATGTCATTATAGCATGTAGGGCTTGGCTTTGCTGTAAAATTGGCACGTCGTTTTCATTTTTTGGCTCATAACATTATTTTAAAAATCAACTCTAGGGCCTCCATGGTGGCACAAGGTGTTAAAGCGTAGCACTATGAAGCTATCCCCAAACGCTTCAACACAAGTTCGATCCCTGGCCTGAGGGGTGACCCACATGGAGCAGCAGACCTCTCCTGTCTCCCCTGTTGCTCCCCTCAGCGGTGTATTCCAGTAGACCTGCCTGTTCTGCTCCCCAGTCTATCTCTGGTGAATCTGCTCAACCCCCTGCACCTCTGGCCTATACCCCAGTTGTTGTAAATAAATCTTAGGGGGGAAAAAATCAATTCTATCACCTTACTTAAAATCTCAAACAATAATGCAGCTTAAAAATGGAAGTAAAGAATGTCCTGACCCCTCAACCCTGACCTCCGAATGTAGCTCCATTAACCATCTTGTGAATATTTTCCTAGACTTTCCATGTGCATAAAGATGTGTGTGTCTGTTTAGGGAGTTTTTGACGGCTCAGAGTTCTAGGTGGATCTTTGCTCTCACTGTCCCTGGAAGTCGAAAGCTGCAGAAGGCCTGATAAAGGCAGTCTTAACGTAATCTACACAGCGCCTGACCAAAGCAACACCTCTTCTTGATAGATTTATGGGTGTACTTGAGCTGGAGAAAGGTGGCAAGTAGAATCCTTCTAGAGAGACCCCGAGGTCATCAAGAGGGACGAGCACGTGAACTGCAGAGAGGACAGCAAGTGGCCCATAAACTTACCAACAACTGTCCTGACCTACCGGGTACATGGTACACAGCCTTGCTCCCGGCTGAGAAAAGCTCCTGTGTGCTGTCTGGGGCTGGCCAGGGGAGGTGGGGAAGGCAGGAGGGCGGAATGTGGGCCGGGCTGAGTTTAGAATTACAAGTGCCTCTGAGGATCTGGAGTCACACTTTAAATAGCCCACACCTTCCCCTCGCCCCTCAGATAATTCTCACCCCCTCCCACTGGACGGCTGGCCGCAATTTTTCTAAGGTTGGTAACATTTTCATTCTTTTGTCCCCCTCTACTTTTGAGCCTCCAACTGACCAGTGGTTTCCACAGGACTTACAGTCAAAGGCTTTGGGGGATCCTTTTCTAGAAACTATGTTTCTGGCATTCATGTGTGCATACGCCAAGACCCTAGAAGCTGTTTTCTTGCCTTTGTGAAATTTCATTGGCTGTTTGTTTAAGGCTGGATGTGCTTTGGAGAAGGGGTGATTCTAGATTGAGAGGAAAAACAACTGGATGTAACTCCAAGAAAGTGAAGGCTGTCTTCCCTGAAATGAGACAGGTACTTTAACAGGACCAAAAGAAAATGAAAATTCTAGTGCCCGCGACTCTACTAAGTGCTTTCATAAATATAAATAGATATCTCATCCTTTCGTGCTTAGAGCTTAGCTAAGGAAGCCTCAGCATAACTGATTAACTTCCCTGAAGCCAGTGAGTGGTGGGGACGCTAAGTAGAAATTTGAACCCAGCCTTGTGTGACCCCACAGCTGTGTTCTCTCAACAGTGCCACCTCTGAGAAGCCTGAATGAGGCAGGGGACACACAGAACAGGACCACTGTTTCTTCCAGAGCCTGGGAGGATGAAGGAGTGAAGCATCATGGGAAGATAGCTATCAGGTGGTAAAGGGAACCCAGACTGGCCCATATACTAGAAAAGCTTCTCAAATGGACAGGGCAAACTTCTGGATTTCTGCTCTTTAGCCCACAGATAGTCTTTGGGGGTCCACTCCCTAATTTATCAAATAAGCAAAGATACTTACTGTTTCCTGAGGTTCTAGTAGCTCTCTGGGTCCCTGAAGTATACAGGGGGGCGGGCAGACTCACAGGATATGGCCAGATGGGGTATCCACTGAGAAAGTTCTTATGTATGAACTTTTCTGAGGTCAGGAAAAATACCATCTCCCTGATTCTCCAGTCAAGGGGCCACTGTATACAGTGCAAGGAGGAGAGAGTGAGTCGTTATAGATGCTTTTACTAGACACAGCGATAAACTGAGGCAGCCAATGTACCTGAGGGATGCAGGTGCATGAGTGGGTTGACGTCCTGGCTGACTAGGCGGAGCAGTCCTGTTAGTTAGCCTCTCTGAGGTGCAGCTTCCTTATTTACAAAGCGCAGGAAAGTCTGCTTATCCTCTCAGGCCGTCGTGTGAATGAATGAAAGGGCGCAGGTACCGTGGCTGCTCCCCACACGCATGCCACCCCCAGGCTCATCCTCACCCCCCAAAAGGGGCTGGAGTAAATGTTTCTAGCATGAAGCGCTTGGAAATGTGGTTTTAAAATTTCATTTTATGTTGTCTTCACTATTGGAAAAGATTCCTACAGCTGTCATTACCAGAGAGGGAAAAGAGTCTGTAGTTTAGCTTAGGATGATTTCAGAGCACGATGAATTGATGGAAGATCCCCTCATCTTATTCAGGGTTCCTTGTCCCAGTCAACCTCTCTCATTGTTTTGGAAGTTTTTTTTAACTGCTTTTATTTTTATAAATCAAAAATACAACTTGTTCTTTGATAAGGATGTATTAAATTGAGGGAAGGGAAATATTCCTATGGTCTAGCCACCATGTGAGGAATATTTTGGGAGATATCAGAGCATCACAATACTTGATAAAGTAGTTTTTCAAGTAGGCGCATACTGTATGTGCTGTTTTAGAAAGATTTTCACTTCACAGATAGTGACACCTCACTTCATTATACTTTCTGCAAACAATTTTTTTAAAGATTTATTTATGTATATAGTACTGGGGTACAGGCTAGAGGTGCAGGAGGTGGTGAGAAGTTTCACGAGAGACAGAGTGGGGAGCAGAACAGGCAGATTGACAAAAGTACACTGCTGAGGGGAGCAGCGGGCGGGTCAGGAGAGGTCTGCCGCGCCATGTGGGTCAG